GGGGGGGGCGCTCAGCACTCAAACGTTCACTTGGAAACTGATTTAAGACTCCAGAGAGCAAACGGCTTTACGCACGAGGCTTTTCCACTCCTTAGAATTTTAGTAGAGCTGTTAACAAATCCTTGGCTCTAGGTTGTTTCAGTATGCACTTGTTATTTTTTTGATATTAAATTGTGATATTCTGAAATGTTATTATAACTAAGCCCAATGAGAAGGGTGGTCGTTCCATTTGTCCGTAGTAATCAGTTTTCTATACTTTCAATTTGCTATAGTTTTCAAATCTGGATTCAAGCAACTTTTTTCAGTACAACTCATTGGAAAACAGATTACTGCCGATGCCATCGAATATGGGAATCGGTAACGCTCGATCTATTGCTCAGTTCCATTCCTTGATTACGGAAGGGAAACTTCTCAGTGGCGCTTTCCATAAGAATTTCGAAAGGCCTGTGTTGGAAAACGAATTCGACCATGTGATCGGGTATGAAGAAAGCAAAGGATACGGATTCCAATTTACGAAGAATCCCAAGGTGATGTTTTCCTTTACGTATACCTTTCCAACATGTCCCAATATGTTCAATAAGCAGAATAATCTCTAAATAAGGTACCAAACAAGACCTCTTTGTTCTGACGAATGATTGCCAACAAGGGGCATTAGCTACAGTGAGAGTGCAGGAATCTAGAGGCTATGCTAGGACCGCCCCGTTCATCGTGGAATATGCTTCGATACTGGTGAAAAAACGAATTTTCTAGGGCCAATGGATTTTCGGACACTCAGGATTTGGAGGTCAGAACGTACGAGTTGACTTACATAATGGACTTTCGTATGCCTACTTGTGCAGCGGTTTGAAGATCTCTGATGCTGATCTGGTAGAGCCGTGGAAACGACTCGTCGATAAACTTTATTCACTTTTATGATTCAAGGGTTGCTAGTTTTTGATGATGCGTAGAGATGTGATAAAGATTTCTATGGAGCATACTGTAATAAATATTATACGGTGCAGTTGGTTAAAGTGAAGGGTTGCGTAACAAAGC